GCATATGGGGAAGGGTTCCAAGAACCAGAATTCCATGATTGGTATTTCGTACCTAGATTGAATTTATGGATTAAGAAACATGATTTGATTCCAGTTTTCAATCCTGATGATATCACACTGAACGGAAAAGTTAACAAGGAGAAATTATTATATAAAGTTCAACGAATGACAGATGAGGAAGTTCTTAACTTATTAGAGAATGATGAAATTTTGGTAGAATATTATTTGACTAAAGATTTAAATGAATTGCATTCTAAGGAGATGACCTTTTTGTTTGATAAGTTAGGAAGAGATAATTTATTATTAGGTGAAGATGAACAAGCTATGAAGGAGTATCATGAATTGAGTAGACCATTTAACTTTAAGAAACCTTTGAAAAAGTCATTGTATTCTTATGAACAAAGTATTGAGAGACGAGCAAAGGAGAGAAACAATTGATATTTCTAACCTATATTGATCATACTTTGACATTAAAATTGCAATTGTTATTTTCAGATTCAAAGCCGTTTATGTCATGACCTTTGATGTCATTGTTAATTGCATGCCAGTTTACATGATATTTGTTAAATTATTGCAGATATATTAGATACGCTATATAATTAAATATGTTTTAGAATTACATACAATACTACAAATATTTTCAAAACAATACCGTGGTGTGTAAAGCTATGACAATATACTTGTACAACAGGGTGAACCCAGGAAATATTCTGTCACAAGAATATAATCAAGAATTTAGACTAACCATTATTCTCGTAAAGAAATTATGGCTGATTTATTTATGTGTTATAAAATATGCACTGATAATTTATGTACTGTCGTGTAGTATGCGACTTTCTCACAAATTCACCACTTGTACACTTCAGTACTTAAATTAAGTATTGGGAAACGAAGTTATTCACTGATATACTCGATCACGGTTATTTATGTTAGTAGTGGTTTTAGAGGATGTGACTCAATTCAATAGATTGATCGATTTCTAATTCACTTTAGTATTCATTTATTTCGATAATTTCTAATATACATAAATAATCTATAAACTGGGAATTTCGGTACATTTATAATAATTCCCTTCCTGACATTTTACCCCGATATCGTGACAATATTAATCTGCAATTACATTGGCTTTGTAATTCTAAATCACCATGTAATGGAATTTTCCTTATTGTGTCATTTGAATAATTATACTGTAATCCATTCATTATTGGGAAATTCCATTGTCGTGGGAAACTGTTACACGGTGCAAGTACCTAACTCTCTTTGTACTAATACACTATGCTGTCGGGGACTGTTGTGGTTGATTCTTGCTTGAATGATTGATTCTCACAAAAATCAGATATTATTCTAGAAGGTAGCTTTCTTGAGTATCTTAACGATAAAGAAGAAGTCCTCTCAATGGCAACTCAGTTCAAGGAATCTTGTCAAATATATATAGTTCTGCAATCCAAAGCTCATATCTGTTGTCCAAGACTTAGAATTCATAACTGTAGATTCTGTATTGCATAAAGCTCTAAAAAGTCTTGTCCAACTAAACCGATCTCGCATACGTGTGATTCCAATCACGTGTAACCGCAGCTCACGTGAGAACCAGTCACGTGTGACAACCAACCTGTTCGTACTTGTCACAAATCTCGTGCCTACAGTCCTTTGGCCTGTGCGATACCGCTACAGAAACATTCATTTTTCTGGTTCTTGGATACTTGGAATGTTTCTATACGACATGTACGGCGTTTTCTTAAGAATACCGGAGGTTGGGTCTATTCAGTAGATAGAATAGATAGAATTCCTCTATTGGATATCCCAAAAATCAGAACACATCAGAGATATCCTAGAGTAAGGAAATTTATATAGTAATAAAAAGTGGGATCAAGCATGGGTAATGTTTGACTAAGAATTTGACTAAGAGTCAGCAAGTAAATGGTCGCAAAATATTCTTACGTTTTTTTCTTGTTCTTTTAGTGAGATTGTTAAGTTTACTTAGGACAAAAACAAAAACTAATTAGAATACACGGTTTAGTTGTTTGTTTGTGTTGTGGAATAATCAATAATAACGATGATATAGTAATTAAATATAACAATAAAATACTAAACTATAGAAATATTCCTTGCCCTCCTCCCTTACATTCCTAGAAAGTTTTCTAACTTTTCTTCAACCCATCGAACCATTCCGTCGAGGGAAACTCGATGAGATGATGTTGGAAAAGTAGTGTCCTGCACATTGTATTATGCCCCAGAATATATTTCAACCAAGTACACATACTACATTCAGTATGAAATATACACAATGACATATATTGTGACAGAAACCGTAATGTCAATTTACCAACATAGGGCTTAGGGGGTTCGAGTCGTCACGTGATATGATCAATAAATAATTTTATACGTCTTGGCCTAATATACAGGTTGTCTAGCTGTTTCATTGCAAGTGAAAATTTTCGTGGAGATCCCATTAGGACCTGACTAGAAAGAAGATCTGACTTTTCCTTCTCTTTATCTTTTTCTTCTTTTTAGTAATTAATTTTTCTAAGTCATAAGGATCTATAGTGTTTGATTTAATATTTGAATACTTACATTACATCTTGGTGAATTTTACATATATTTTATAGCTAAGGTAAGGGGGCTTACCTAATAACGTAAAATACCCGATAACCAAAATAACTCTAAAAAAATATGCTTCTGTTTTAGTTTAACAATAGAACCACATTATTTTTATAAAAGAGAACAACAAGAGAGATGTTTTGCTTTGTTTCGGAGAGATTTTTCCGCAACTTTTGGGTTATGGGGTATTTCAGGTTATTAGGTACCCCCTGTATATCATTATTATTTAACTTCTATGTTTTAATTGTTATCTCCAATTACGTCAGTCGGGGATACTTCTAGTTCTACATCATTCACCAGCTTAGTGAGATGAGTATTTCAGGGGCTGAAGTTGCTCCTGAGAGATAACAACTATTTTACATACTAACTTCTTCACTTTGAATAAGAAGCTTGAATAGAACTTATTCAACAACAACATTTAAATCTTCCAGCCTTCAGTCAACTCATAAGAACACATCAACTAGCTTATCATAGATAACTATCCCTTTCTCCAATACTTATTATTGAAGAATCTGGGAGATATATATAGTAATATACGATTTCCCTGGTCGACCTTACGCACACAACCGGGCTCCCTGGTCAACACAACCTATTGCTTTTCTCTACCGAGGTCCTGATTGTTTTTGATTTGCTCCAGGGGAAATTAGTTTAAATAAAGAAGGCTGTCAACTATTTTATACCGTGCTTCAAACCATCCTCAGCAATAAATATATATTCATATGCCTTCTTCCGAAATCGGACGTACCAGAACGAATAGCGGTTTGACCACTCTCGTGACTTTTCGAACAACAAAGCTCATTAGATTGATATTCCTCATAGCATTTTTTATTAATCTCATATATTTCTTATTTTTCAATAATGACTACTTAGACCAATATTTGCCATATTCCAAATTTGCCTCAACCGAAGAAACCGTCCATCAATCTAAGCAAAAGATTATCCAGAACAATTCATTTGCGGAGGCAATTCAGAAAAAATTCAGAGAGATTGAATTAAATCCTGAGATATTTCATGAAGTATTTGCTCAAGAGATAGAAGAAGAACTTTCAATAGATCTTAAACCATTTACTAAACTGGATGAAGATGAAAATAGTTGGATAAACCAAGATACGTTGTTCTATGATCCTAGATTTACTTT